ATACTCTAGCAGCAACAGATTGAAGATGAAGAGAACTGACTTGTCAAATAGCAAGAATTATCTTTAAATTGTATTAATTGGGTGTTTATAATGGCCTAAAGGTGAAAACACAAATGTCTACCAGCTAATCAAAGGATAAATAAAATATATGTCTATAGAGTAGAATATTATTTAGCTGGCTGAATGAAGTACTGATAACTTGTTGTAATGTGGATGAATCTTGAAAATATGCTAGGTGAAAGAAGCCATGATGGCATACTACGCAGCACAAAGAAGGAAGGAACGAACTCCTACCCTTTGTGACAGCATGGATGGATCTGGAGAGCATTATGCTAAGTGAAATAAGCCAGGTGGTGAAAGACAAATACCATATGATTTCACCTGTACATGGAATCTAATCAATAAAACAAGCAAGCAAGCAAAATCTAACCAGAGACATTGAAATTAAGAAAAAACTGACAGTAACCAAAGGGGAGGTGGGCGGGTACAATGGGGATGAAAGGGGGAAGGGTTTTCAGGCACATCCATAAAGGACACATGGACAAAATCAAAGGGTAGGATCAAGGGTGGGGAGTGGGAATGGCTGAGGTTGGGGGGAGTGGTTGGGGGGACAGAAATGGAGACCAGTCTTGAAAAACAATTACAAAAGCCACAAGAAACATTACACTTCTCTTCATGTGAAATATTCACTAAAGGAAATTTACAGAGATAGTAGATTGGTGGTTGGTTAGGAATGGTGAGATTTATCAAGATTAGGACATAGAGCAGTGATAGCTAAAGGATGTGGGTTTCCTTTTTGAGGTAATGAGAATGTTCTAAAATTGTGGTGATGGTTACCTATAAGTGAAAAGACTATCCATCATACACTTTAAATAAGTGAATTGTATAGTATGTGAATTATACCACAATAAATCTGTTAAAGCTATATAATAATTAGCAGAGTGTAGTATTAGGGATGGAAGAACTGATTTATACTGGAATAGAAGCCTAGAAATAAATGTGCTCTTATGAGGGATCTTAATTTAAGACCAATCGCATTACAAGCTGGTAGGAAAAATAAGAGTATTTCAAATTGTTCTGGATATCTGTATGGAAGAAAATGAAATTATGCCTCCTTAATACCATACAGAAAAATCAGTTTCAGGTGAATTAACTGTGAAACAAAAACCTATTAAACCTAGAAGGCAAGATAGAAAGACATCTTTATGACCTTATGGTTGGTAAATGCAAACTATAAAATACATATTCAAATACATGAAAAGCCTTTGTTCTTTAAGTTCTTGGAAAAGTAGTTGATTTCAGTTAGACATGGGAACTGTATCGAGCTTGTAACATTTTGTGCAACGTAGCAAAGAAGCTATTGGGATCATGCCAGATGGACTTGAGAGAACTGAAAAGCATCCTACCAGCCAAAGTTAGGACAGTTTGAGTATCAATAAGGACTTACAGGTTCACTGAAATTCTAAAATTTACCTGAGCACAGGTTGGAACATATAAAATGCAATGGATTGGAACATACCAAATTTAATAATTTGATCATTTAAGTCCATGAGTTCATAATAGTAAAGCTAACAACAAGTATCTAGTAGTCAACAAAGGAAGGAAGCCATGGAATCAATTCATTATTTTGAAAACCAGTTAAATAAATAAAGCATTTGTCCTGCATTTTCTGTAAGAACTCTACTGAACTTAAACAAATAGTAAATGAGGAGACATTCTATATACACATGTATTTAATAAATGAAGAAGGAATGATAGAAAATTGCCACCTTGAGATTCATAATGAATACATTGATTTATTCGTTTTACATGAACATGAGAAGGAAAATATACTTTTAATATAAAAACATGCCATCGTCTATTTAAAAATCTTGCCCCCCAAAATGAACCTGACTAGGAAATAGAATGTGTTAAACACAACTCAATCTATGGAAAAAAATCATGGGACAAATTAACTTCAACCAATAGGTTGTAGGAGAGGGAGGAAAAAAGTGTAGATTGAAAGAGACTTACTTAAAAGATATGTAAAGCAATATGTGAACTTACTAGTTTTCTATAGCTGTATAACAAATTAATGTAACACTAAAAATATTTATATCTCACAGTGTCTTGAGAGTTAGGAATCCAGGAGTGGCTTCTCTGGGTATTCTGGCCCAGGGTCTTAGGAGTTTGCACAAGCCATTGGCTGGGTTGCTGTCCTCTGAAGGTGACAGAAGATAAGTGATAGAACATCCAGTTCCAAGATGGCTCACTCAGGGTTTGAGGGTGTCTACAACATGGCACTTGGCTCTCTCTCCCCAGAGCAAGTGATCCAAGAGAAAGAAGTCAAAATCACTCAAACGGATATACCGTTACCTCTGTATTCTATTAGTTCCACAGATGATCCCTGATACACTGTGGCAAAGAGCTACACAAAAGCACAAATACCAGGAGGCTGGCTGCCACAATTTTGCTTTCAAAGATTCACATCCTTCCCACAGGTAAAACTCTCACCCTTTCCCAAAATTCTCAAACAGCATTAGCTAAAAGTCTAGAAATTAAAAACAAAGACCAGGTATAGATGTGGCTTTTTAGGTATACTTCCCGAAACACAGCTCCTTAAATAGAGTTAAGAGGGCCTGCAGACAATAATATGTAGTATTTGCTTCCACCTACCTAAACTAAAATATAGTTTACAGAAACTGATACCCCCAGAGCAACTTGGTTGGTAGTTCTCTGATTAAAATTCAAAACCTGAGAGTAATTCTCCATGGCTCTTAACTCTGCCTTATAGTCTCTTGGATCCCACTCACTGAGTAACCCTTCTTTTTCCATGTTTACAGCTGTGTAGCTCTCTGTAGCAGCTTGCATGTCCAAAGTCTGTTTTTATTTGGATCTCTGTCCCAGTCCAGGCTGGCAAATAGCCTGCAAATATAATTCTTTTAAAAGGTCTCTTAATAATTATATTCTACTAATATAATTGTCATATAAATTTTGTGAGTCTCCTTTGAATTTTGAGTTAACACCAATAAACAAAGCAACACTCATAAATCTCTTTCATATAAACCCATGCACTACACCTTTAAACTTCTCAGAAGCCTCGTAATTTAATTAAGAGGTTGTGAGGCACACTCAAGTCTAAATGAAAAGACTCTGAGTTACCACATTTGATTTTTTTGAGATCTTAAAAGGCTTTACAACTACACCCTCAACCTCATACCTTTCTGTTAGTGCTCTGGATTTGTTCTTTGTTCTGAGCCATTTCCTAATTTTATATCTGTCACCTGGAAAGGCTGGGAATCTTCAAATCTCGTAAGTTCTGCCTCCTTTGGAACAGTCCATTAACTTCTCTCTCTTTATGCTTTACTATAAGCAACAAGAATATACCAGGTGACATCTTTAACATTCTGGTTGGAAATCTCCTTAGCTAGATCACCCAGTCAGTTAGGCTTATTTGCTATTGCACTGTGCACGTAAATGTGGGTGACAAAATTGCTAAACTTACTATCACTTTTCTCCAATCTCCAGTAAGACTATTCTAATCTGTTAAAACCTCATCTGCAGCCTTCTCAAGGTTATCATGCATTTCTAAGCTCTTCAAACTCCCTACCATTCTCCAAGTCCTTCCACCTTCTGCCCTCTGCCACTTCCAAAGCCACTCTTACATTTAAAATTTTTATGTCACCATGCCACTTTCAAGTACCAAAACTCTATTAATTTCCTATTGCTTCATAACGAATACAAAAGTGGGAAAAATGTGTTGTAAATCCATGGACATGGATGGATCTAACAAGGATAACAACCAATTCAAAAAAGAATATAGCAGGATTCCACTTTTATAAAGAATCAAAAAAGTAAAAAAATATTTTGTTTAAAGGTGCGAACATCAGTATCTACAAATTCAAGCAAAAGTGATAATCACAAAATCAAGGGAGTTAATTTTCTCTAGCTACTGAAGGTAGAGAATAGGTTAAGGAAGTAGCATACAAGGAACATAAAAGTGGTATAATTTTACATGTTTATTTAGCTGGGACAATCCTGGTTTGCCTATTTTCCTGGTATAGTAATACCATGCTCTCACATTTAAAGATGTCCTGGTTTGGATAATAAATTATATGTTATCCTTTTTAAAGTAGCTTTTTCCCTTTAATCTGGATAGAGGCATATGGATCTTCATTGTACAATTTTTCCTTATATAAATCAGATATTTTACAAATATTCAGTTAAAACTATAAAATATTTAATAATATAATTTAAATTTTTAGCCAGTGACAACAGAGTAAAAGTAAATCTGTGTGTAGGATAGATGTAAATAGAATTTGAATGAAATCCACATCTGGGTGGACATGGAGATAGATAATATACTACATGTCTAGCATTGTATTAGCCCTTTACAGATATTACTTCATCTTCATAGCAAGATTTTTAATACATATTATCTCCATTTTACACATGAAGAATCTGAGGCATAAAAAAGTATATCTAACTTAGCCAAAGCCATACAGTGACAGAGCAAAATCTGAACCCAAGCAATGTGACACCAGACTACATGCTTTTAACCAGAATTGCAGAGTCCATAATAGACATTCTTACACTTTTTTTGTGCCATGTATCCTTTTGGCAGTCTGATTAGGCCTAGAAATCCCTTTTTTAGAGTCATGTTTTAAATGTATAAAATATGCATAATATTATAAATGAAACCAATTATAGTAAAATTGAGTAATGAAGATGTTATACAGAAGCGCTATACATATTCTTTATGTATCAAATAAAATATAGCTGAGAATCTAATAACATCTATAGCTTTTTAAGTAGTGAACACCAATTGTATCTTGAGATTTCTACAAGTATAGTAAGGTAGTGGGAGAATACCTGTGATTTTTATTGTGAAAAAGTCACCAGTACTTCTAAAAATACTGATTTATTACCTATGTTCAAAATTGAAAGAAATCCTCAGTTTCACTTTGAGGTTAGCAAAAATTAAGGTGTAATATTTTTCATATTGAAATTCATAACCCTTTGTTTTATTACCTTAATTCATAGACTTTCAAAAAACATTTTCCATCGACTTTATTTTCAAATACACTTTCTTAAAAAAATAAAAGCCAGTATACTTTCTGTGGGCATGACAAGTATCCATATTAGGAAATCCAATTATACACAAAATACCACGTCTAGTCAGAGGTAGATATATTTATTTCTTGGTAACATACATTAAGTGGCACTAATTACACAGTAACTACAAGGTAACTAACATGAAACCACAGGACTTAACTTTGCCACAGCTGCATGGACTCGGGGCTTTTTCTAGCTGAGCACATTGTGAAAAAACAGGATGCCCACTGCAGAGCTCTGCCAATGAAATCTGTTTGGGAGGGCGGTTATGAAGTGGCGACTCACCAGAGTTCCTTGCAACTGACCGATGACTGGCAAGCCATGTTAGTTATGAAGTAGTTACAGCCTTATTCACAAACGTTACTGTGTCTCCTTCCAGAAGGAAGAAAGAAATTCCGTGAATTAGCCCTTGGTGTGTCAGGTGGGAGTGCAGAGGAGGGCCGATAGAGCTGTGTCAGAAGGACCCGGTGGGTCAGGTGGGTAGGACATCAGTAATCATCATGGTTGTCTTCTACATACTGGTAGCAAAGTGACTTCTGAGTTGTAATCAGGTAAATTTTAGATAAATGGAAAAGACCCAGTAGTCCTACACTAAGATATAAAGAGCCCTGCTTAGCCGCATGAGTGTCGTGCTCGCATCTGGGCCTCACAGCACAAGGCACCCAGACTTTTGCCTCTTGTCACTGCCTTGCAGAGCAGCTCTCGCGGCCATTTCAAACACCTGCCTCACTCCCTCTCTGGTCTTCGCCGAACACTCCGCGTAGCCGAAGGCGCCGATCCTCTGGGCCATGGCTCTGCCCTCCTCCGGCTTCACCGGCTCCCGCCGCGCCTGGGCCAGCTTCCACTGCGTGTGCGGGCAGCGCCGCAGGTCCTTCTTGTTCCCCACCAGGAGGATGGGCGCGTCGGGGCAGAAGTGCCTGACCTCCGGAGTCCACGTGTCCGGGATGTTTTCCAAGCTGTCGGGGCTGGCGACGGAGAAGCACAGCAGCACCGCGTCGGTGCGGGGGTAGGCCAGGGCCCGCAGGCCCCGGTAGTCCTCCTGCCCGGCGGTGTCCCACAGGGCCAGCTCCACCGGCTGCCCGTCCACGTCCAGGCCCGCCAGGAAGCTCTCGAACACCGTGGGCACGTAGGCCTCCGGGAACTGGTACCCTCGGAAAACGATGAGCAAACACGTCTTGCCGCAGGCCCCGTCGCCGACCACCACCAGCTTCTTGCGCACGTCCGCCATGGCTCCCGGCCAGCTGCAGGCCCACGCCCGCGTGGCGGCCGTTCCCGAAGTGCCTGCGATGTCTCCGGTGAAAGTCGCCCGGCCAGGGCTCCTACCGGCCATCTCTGCACCCAGGACGCCTGTGCCGGGGTCGCAAGAAGGCCAGCACGGGCGTCCGAGGCCCCGGGGCCCAGGGGCCCAACAAAAGAACCGGTGGGAGGGCCGAGGGCAGTGGGTGCGAGCGCGGGCCAGCGAGGACTGCAGGAGGGCGGGGGAGTGAGGCCTGAAGGCACAGACTTGCTGACTGACACGGGTCTCACTTCACAGAGGGTGTGTTCTTGACTCCCCGCCCCCAACCTGGCACTTTCTGGTTTGGATTTATATTCAGAATGAGATACATAAATAGCTTACAAGTAAATATTTCTCTATGTTGTGGACTTAGGTGGGGAGTGAGAAACAAGGTGTGAGGATGAAGAAGTGTATGTATAGCTAATGGGAAGCTTGGAACTGCCTTAGATGTTTGGCTTGGTTCTGCACATGAAATTATTCGTAAAAGAATTCATTATTGATACTGCTGCATGTTGCAGTATTTTATTTGTCAATATCTGTAGCAATGCAACAATCAAAAAAGAAAAAAATAGATTGAAACTTTTTTAAAAGTTTCATTGGGCAAAAAGAAAAACATAGGACAAAATTTTTATTTGCCTTACTCATGATTTGATGTCCCAGCAGAGCAACTGGAGAACCTAATTCTGACCAACAAGGAGGAATTGCTTGGCTAATTGAAAGTGACAGAAACCTTGGGAGAAAACAACTGCATACAAAGGATAATTATGAGAAGGTAAAATGGGCCCTAAAGGATAGTGTCAAGAAATCTGAAGCCCCCAAATGAGGTGAGACTTGTAAAAAAATGCTAAGACAGGACAAAGAGTGGGCTTTTTAAAATTCTGTACAGAGCCAGAGGATGATCAAAGAAAGGAAAAACCTACTTCAATTTCTGGCATAATGTTAGAGCTGACGGAGAAAGCAGAGCTCCCTAGATATTATTTTGCTTCATTCGCTACACAGGAAATTTAAGTGGTTGACATAGTAGAAAGAACTATGTATTTGTGGCGTCAGGCAGACCTGGGTTTAATTCTCTTTTTCAACACTTAGTTATATTACCCTAGATCCCCTTTTCTCATCTGTAAAATGGAAATAACTGTATTTTTCTCATAGGATTGTTCTGAGTGATGGAAACAATACATCCAAAATACTAAGCCAGGCTCCCAGTAGTGACTCATTAAATAGCAACTTATTAATATTACTGAAAAGAGCAGTATAAATATTGACAAGAAGCAATACTCTTCCAAATAGGAGAAAACATTTTAAGAAACCTAACAGTTCCAATTTAGATTATATGAGTGGCTTATATTGAAGGCTTTGAAGGTGGGAGGTGGGGAGTATGAATAAGACCTGAGTACAGTTGTCATCTTTGAGGAATTATGGAAAACATAATAGGTGCTAAAACACCAAATGTGGGCAAATGTCTGCCTTCAGGGTGAAAAGTGGAAATCTAAAACCTGGAATTATTTGCCTTTTCACTCAGCGATATTTTCTCCCATTGGTGTAGTTTTCATTTGCCCATGGAAGAGAAAATGCAAAAAAAAAAAAAGCACCACTGAAGCAAAGGAATAGTTTGGATTTTCCAAAGAAGTGCATAAAGTGGAGATAGAAGTCTTGGTAGCTAAGGTGATTAAAAAAAAAAAAAAGAACAGGATTCTTGAATTTCTTCAAAGCTTTGAGAGGTAAAGCTTGAAAGAAGGAAAACATTGCATCCTAAAGCAAGATGTAGTGGGTTGAATGGTGGCACCCAAAAAATTATGTTCATGTCCTAATTCCTGGAACCTGTGAATATTACCTTATTTGGAAAAACAGATCTTTGCAGATGTAAATAAGTTAAGGAACTTGAGATGAAATCAGCCATCCTGGATTGTCTCCTGGGCCATAAATCTAATGACAAGTATCCTTATGTGACAGAAGAGGAGACATAGAGAAGGCAATGTGACCGTAGAGGCTAAGATTGGAGTGATGCGGCAGTAAATGAAGGAATTCTGACAGCTACCCAGAACTGGAAGAGGCAAATAATAGATTCTCCCCTACATCTTTCAGAGGAAGTGCAGTCCTGATAACACTTATTTCGGACTTCTGGCCTGCAAACTTATATAAGAGAATAAATTTCTGTTGTTTTAAGCCACCATTTTATGGTGCTTTGTTACAACGGCCCTTTGAACTTACTGCACAGAACTCAAAGGAGATCAGCTAATATCTCTAGTAGACAGTTTTCTTGGGCTGGAAGAAATGAGGGGTTATGAAATGGGTGATGGAGGGTGCAGAAGGTCTGGCTCTTGGAAGGCACATGTGAATGACAGTGGAGTTAGCAATGTACAGAGTACACAGTCTGGCCATTTACAGAAATTGTCAGCTTGAGAGAGACCTGACATGGTTACAATGCATTGCCAAAACCAGGAAGTCACATGGCAGGCAGCTAATCAATATAGGAAGTTCTCCCCAAAAGAAATTCATGTCATCAGATGGAGTTTCTGTTTGATTGAAGAATACTTTCCACTCCCTACCTGCTTTATCTGTAGCAGAAGTAACAGCTGTCTCTCTATATTCTAATACTTTGTAACTCAATCCTACCCAAACTTCTCATAGGAAAAATAAAAAGTATTCTTTCAACATTCTCTGGCAATCTCAAATACTCAGATAAAGAAAGGATCATGGACAATGGATGGGGTTTCAGTGATATAGAATGGAATACATGTCACTCGGAAAACCTTTCTTCAATCTTTATTTTACTGGGACTTTATCCATTTGATTGGGGGCTCCACCTCTAATCCCCAAGCAGGACTATGTTGATCCCAGGCAAGAATCTAAAGAGAATTATTAAAAGGGTGCTCTGGGAGCATCTATGAGAGAAAGCAGTGCCCTAGACAGATACCTCAGTTGGTTAGGGCATCGTCCCAATATGCCAAGATTTTGGTTCAGTCTCCAGTCAGGGCACATATAGGAACCAACTAATGAATTCATAAATAATTGGAACAATAAGTCGATGTCTCACTCTCTCAAAACCAATAAATATTTAGAAAAAAATTTAAGAGAAAGCACTTTGGGTTTACCAACCAGAATTAATTTGTTCTATTTAACTTTCTTCCTCGCAGGATTACTAGACTAGTACACCAATGAAAGGTAGTAGACAATATTTATTGTATCTTTCCCCAGCAGGCATTGACATTTATTACCATAGACTTCCAAGTAAGTTGGGGAAGAAAGATTGACTAGGTGATTGACTCCTGGGTGGCAGTGAGCCTCTGCAGAGGTTTTTAGTGGAGAGCCTCAGTCCTTTACTAAGTCAACACTGTATTTCATTGACTTGAGAGAATACGCTCATATAGAATTCATATTTATCAAAACTTCACCTGATTCAAAGATGGAAAGGACAGGATGTTCTACAAACCTTGGAATAGCTTGATGTTGACTCCGGGCTAAAGTCTAGATAGCCATGTTTAAAAACATAAAATCAGGGATTCTAACCATGCAAGCAGAGTCTTTAACAAACTACTATGGTTTTTAAGTTTCTTCACTCACATAGGTGTCACAAATGAATGGGACATCTATTCTGTAAATGTCTATGTGGGGCTTTAGCAAAATGATTAAGGTATGGTTCTTGGAATGCAGTAGTTTAAAATCTGGTGAGTGAAAGAGACTTGTAAAGAAATAAAAGATATTATAAATAAATAAATAAAATAAATGTTCATTGTCAGAGTTTATATTTAGTAAAAATTAAAAATAAACTACATTTGGCTCTAGCCAATGTGGCTCAGTTAGTTAGGCTTTGTTCCACAAACCAAAAGGTCACCAATCAGGATGTGTGCCTGGGTGGTAGGTTCAGTTCCCGGGCAGGGCTTGTGCAGAAGGCAACTAGTCAGTATTTCTCACATCAATGTTTTTCTCCTTCTCCTTCTTCCTACCTTCCCTTCTCTCTAAAATCAAAAATAAAAACAAAATTTATTAAAAAATAAATAAAAACAGCTATATTCAATTGTTTGGGATGAACTGGCACTAGCATATGAACACCTTTAAGAATGGAAAACAATATTGGTGAATAATATGACAGTGAGATAATTATCTAAAATTAACAAGAGTTTAAAGGAGAAAACAAATATTTAACAAAGATAAAAATATTTTTTAAGTTTATTCTTATTTTTAAGCAAGTTAATACAACAGATTTGAAAAAAATAGTATTCCAAGCTTGCAAATTTATGGTGAGATGGACCCTTTTCTAAAAAAAAAAAAAAAAAAAATCACTATTTATTTGTCAATTATAGTTGACATTCAATATTATATTAGTTTCAGGTGTACACCCCAGTGATTAAACATTATATAACTTACTAAGTGATCATCCCAATGAATCTTACACCCATCTGACACCTTGCATAGTTACTAGAATATTGTTTACAATATTCCTTCCCTCTGCTGTACCTTACATCCCCATGACTATTCTATAACAACTAATTTATACTCCTTAATCCCTTCACTTTTTTTTCATCCGTCCCCTCAACCTCCCTCCCATCTGTCAACTGTCAAAATGTTCTCTGTATCTATGCATGTATTTCTGTTCTGCTTGTTCATTTATTTTTTTTAAGTCAGTTGTTGATAGGTATTTATTTATTGCCATTTTATTTCTTCTTAAAGAAGATTCTTTAACATTTTTTGTAATACTGGTTTGCTGGTGATATATTCCATTAGCTTTTTCTTATCTGGGAAGCTCTTTATATGTCCTTCAAGTCTAAAAGATAGCTTTGATGGATAGACTATTCTTGGTTTTAGGCCCTTGCTTTTAATCACTTTGAATATTTCTTGCCACTCCCTTCTGGCTTGCAAAGTTTCTGTTGAGAAATCAGCTGACGGTCTTTTGGGAGCTCCCTTGTAGGTAACTTACTGCTTTTCTTTTGCTGCTTTTAAATTCTCTGTCTTTAACCTTTTGCATTTTAATTATGATGTGTCTTTTTGTGGGCCTCCTGGGGTTTATATTGTTCAGTACTCACAGCACTTCCTGAACTTGTAGGTCTGTTTCCTTCACCAAGTTAGGAATGTTTTCTGTCATTATGTTTTCAAACAAGTTTTTAATTCCTTGCTCTCTCTCTTCTCTTTCCCCACCCCCACATCCATGATGCAGAGTTGGTACAC